ATAACAAACTTGACTATAACAGTCAAGCAATGAATTTTCAACCACTGGTTGAAAATTAAACACAAACAGAAGAAAACAGGATGGCCAATAGTTCCATAGAAATATCCTCTGGGATCGACACAGCGAAAAATTTCCAAGTTAGGAAACTCCCAAAAGGACAAAAGAAGAAATAAATCCAAAACGCTAATACACAATCTTGGAAAAGAAAAAAGAAAAGGGGCACATGGCATACAAGCCATAATCAATACACAATCAGTTCAGTCTCAAACTAAATACTTCCAAAAGAAACAAAAAATCGTAACAGTCTTCCAAAGAAAACAAAAAGTTACGACAATACTCCAAAACAAACAAAAACATCATTACAGATCTCCAAGGGAACATAAGAATCACTATATTCTTCCAAAAGAACAAAAAAATCATTACAGTCCGTCATCAACAATAAAACTTTCAACTGGGAACACAAATCTTAAAAGCAGGGCAAGAAGGGAAAGGAAGAAGAAGAATATATATACACAAGGCAAAAACTAATGCTTATCTTCCTTAAAAGCTCAACAGGTCACCTGGCGGACGAATCCAAAACTCATCGACCTAGCCGTTCCTCTTATGACAACTAATAAGGTCAAAGACACAGTTTGGGAAGGGAATAAAGGGACAACATCAAGAAATAAACTTCATCACTTCACGGATAATAATTGAATACAACATCTTCATACAAATCAGAAAGAAAACGTTCACTATTCTTCAACAAAACTCGAACAGGGTCACAACAATATAAGTCTGGCGAATTCTAAGTGGGTCATTCAACGGTAGTACTAGAACTACTTCAGATGTTTCACTAACATGGTCTCACAATCAACATAAACAATACTTTCACAACAATCAGCGGCCAGGTACTTTCACCTCTGCAAACAAAACGTCACAATGGACAATGCAAGTATTTGTACCTCCGTTTTTACCAAATCATAAACACTTCATCACAAACACTACAACAAGAAGGAATGCTATTGAGACTCAAATCAATAGTCTTACTTCAACACTTAGAAAGGCTTATCCTTTCTAATAATTCACGGAAAGGGGATGCTGCTACGCAGTCTTACACAACAACAGAAATATCCAAGGAAACACAAATCCAGGTCACGTGCCTGTACGTCCTACATGATATTTCAAAAACACAATACTCAAATCACAAACTAATACATTTTAGACCATCAACATATCTCCACTACAACATCTGACCACACAAAGACACGGAAAGACACAAAACTAACAGACAGAAAAAACATCAGAATACTTTCGCTATGTATTCTCAACAAATCGGCCTTAGCCAGGAATACACGAAGTCGTATCATCACTCTCTTCTACGTGTACACAAAAAGGAACTAGGGAGAAACACAAGACTAACAGACAAAAGAAAAATAACAATACTCCGCTTTGTCACTAACAAATCGGCCTTAGCCAAAGACAAACGGAATCGTATCATCATTTCCTCCTACTTATAACACAGAATAGGAACAAAGAAAACACGGAAATAACAGACATAAGGCAAATAACAATACTTCGCTTTGTCACTAACAAATCGGCCTTAGCCATGGACAAACGAAATCGTATTATTACTTTCTCCTACTTATAAAACAAAAGACAACAAGGGAAAAACAATGGACAAACGTGGACTGTAACAGAAAACATTTTCTTTTTCCGGGTTTAAGAAAAATTTCACACATTGCCTGGACTATTAAACTTTAAGATACGAAAAAAATTTGACCTATATTTATCGTACAACAGCTTATTATAAGAATGCAATAAATTGCTCAAACACTCAATAAGAAGACGAAATAGATAACTTATAAACACTTAAAGAAAGGACAGCGTCTACATACGAAATAAATTATTTCGTTAACGTAAACAAAATTCTTTTCTCAGACATGGGATACTTAACTTTAAGACGAACTTGGGATAAACAAACTTGATATCGTTCACATTTTAAATACCGGCAAATAAGGAATGACATCATTCCAAATACGTATTTTTTAATTCACAAGGAAATAGACGAAAATTATTTCTACATAATTTTACGAAAACTGGACATAGAAGAAAATGGAAATCGTAGCAGTTAACTTGGGACAGGAATAGACTTGATTTAACGAAAAACGGGATAAAGCAAATCACAATATAACTGAAAATACCGTTCGAAGCAAACTTAACGAACTTCACATACAGGGGGGACAAAAATACTAAAACAATGTTTGGGTGAAAGCAAATACAAAATGTATACAAAACAACATACTCGATAAACTTCACATAAAGGGTGATACAAAAATAGTAATAATATTGACAACTTGACTTTTGAGTGAGCTACACAAAATAACACAACATAAAACACCTTGCTCTTGTTCTGAAAACTAAATGAGACTGCTCCTAGGCAAAACTAAACAGCACCTCCGATCACGAGTATAACACTTGTCATCATTCAGATACAAGACAGGAAACACAAAAAGGAACTCAGGGGAACACAATCTCCTATTAACCCGTGGCATTACATACGCCGTCAAATCTGGTTAATTAGGGAACAACAGGGGAACACAGGGGACTACTCTTCACATTCACAATCTCCTACTAGCCCGTGGCATAACACAAACGCCGTCAAAGAGGGCCTAGAGGAAACAATGAAATGGCTTAGGACAAAAGACAAAACACAACTATACTCATCAGCTCAAAGAAAAGTCACTCAAACAATAAACACATTTACTCAAAATGACCAGACAAAACAAAATTACAAAAACCGATTTTTCTGTAAGAAATGTCAAATCAATCAAAAATAAATGGCACAATAACGGTACACTTAATTTGTTACTGTAAATAACTTAAAATTCTTCTCAATATCAAAACATTATTTAAAATTTAATTTAAATATTCAAACTCAAAATATTTGCTTTCATTTACCAATACACAAAAATACATATAGAAAAATTTCTACAGTACTCGAAATAAAAGAAACAACATTACATATGTCAATATTACAACAAATACATCTGTTGATATACAATAATACATATGTTAATACAAAAACAATACATAGACAAAACAACAATACATATGTTGATACAAATACATATATTAATACAAATACAAAAACAAACTGTTTGTGGGACAGCGGGGCACTACCTGGAAGACGGGGTTCCATAAAAATGGCAGAAAACTATGGCAGAAAAATTGAAAAAGATATGTGACTTCGGGGAATGGGACAAAAATCTAAAAAACGCGGAAATATTCAAAAGCCCCTAGGTTGGGCGACATTTTTGTAACGACACTAAAAATGTCGCAAATCTAAGAAATGCCACACACGTTGGGCGCTATTTTTGTAACGACGATATTTTGCCTACCACAGGGGCATTAATACAAGGGGGTAGAAAATTGGGGGAAAAACTATTGGGGTGGAGATAGGGCAAGCAAAATAATCGCTACTGATGCGAACGGCACTCAGGGTTTCGTAGGAGAGCTGGGGTCGTGGATAAGTAAAAGATAAGGGCATTGGAATGGGGGAACTACAAAAAAAATGAAATAAAAGGGCTCTTGGGATAAACAAAATAAAAATAAACAAGAAACACCTCAAGGAATTTAATATAGGGCGCCACTTGAGGTGCCTAATTATGCCTATTACAACCACTAGTTGTAACTAGGGAAATAATTAGAAAACAAAATCAAAACATAAAAAAACATATCTTTTTCAAATAAACTCAAAAAGGGTTAGCTCAAAAAAAAGAAAATGTTAAGACAACAAAATTTAACATTTATTTATGTGTCACCACAAACAGTTACATGGAGAAATACAAACTTCAAAAACTTACATGCGTCATCCATTAACAAACTCCATTGCTACAAAACTTACAAAACTGCATGGAGGTTAACCTTTTTAAAAAATAAAAACAAAACAAATCAACTTCAAAAATACTAAAACGAGCTGTCATAAATTAACATTAAATTTCAAAAAAAACTAAACACAAATTGACAGCTTTACTCAAAACCTAAAATTTACAATTTTAACTGTCAACGAAAGCAATTATTATTTTATATAAAAAAATGTCTGTCTTTAGTTTAAAATTTGAACAAAATGTTACCTTAATTCACATGACACACTCAACTTTCTGAAACCATAACTGGAACCTGGAACTGAGGGCTCCACTTTCTCTGCATGACGAAAACCTCCATCTCCAAAACTGCCAAAAGCCTTGGATAAAAGCAGGAACAAAAGAAAAACAAAACGAGGATGTCCTCCAATCCTCACTCAAAACATTAATAATTGAAGCATTTACTGCCACAAAACCAATATCAAACTGCTACATTTTCTTCATAACAAAGGACGAAAACAGGATACTTAACAAATTCGACGTGAATTTGGACATAACGTTGAACCACTCTTGAAAGCTGTTCCAACGAGAGTGAAGAAATTCTATTAAAATTGAACGCATACATACAGACGCTGACATAACAAGACACCACGAAACGACGTACATATCCTTTTGCGACGCATTAAACTTGAAAAGAATTTGCCGAAGTAAAATAAACAACTCTAAAATGGTTTATTTCAACTTGGCCGACCTAAGAAAGAAATGAAAAGATATTTGGGTTTAAATACGTACGAAATATTTTTAGATCTATCAAAAATATATAAGGTGATTTTAATATTTCGTATACGAGGGGACTTCAATATACTTCAAAGAATCAATGAAATTGAAAATGCTACAACATTTCACAACATACCAGTCACGAATTAATAATTACGTATATGGCCGGCATGTTTATCATTTAAAAAATAATATAATACTTATTAAAAAGCTACAATTACATTATTGTATTTTTTGCTTATCTGTTAGTGTAATTATTGAGGAATTACAAAACTTAAATATTTGTGTTGTTGTTAGATTATTTGCTTGTGAAATGCATTTTTGTCCCATTTTGACGCAAATAGTTACGACAAAAGAGTATAAATATATTTGTTTTAGATTCCCGCACTTCGACAAATTTCAAGGCAAACGAATTTTCTTATAGAAGGAATCACCGACCAGTGGGATAAGCTAAAAACCTGGGTATTTGTAGATGAAAGTACATTTCCCAATAAAGCACATCGATTCACTGCCATTTACAGCAGAGATAAAGAATACTTGTAAGTTTTTTTTGTTTCTAATATTACATGAAATAAATAGCAAATTCTGGATTTTTCTTTTTCGTTCTCTTTCTTGTAGAAATAATCCGTGTTTTATCATTTATCTCCACAATTTTGTTGCCCCATAGTTTTTTTAATATTCTTATTGATGATCGTTAGGTACATTATTTTATATTTCAATTTTTTTTTTCATTTTTTAATATTTGCTCTATCGGTATTATTAAAGAGTCCACCGACCTAAGGAATCAAAGAAAAAAACATCAAGCTCTAAGTTCCTAGGTTACTTAAAAATATCGCGACGGACAACTTATTTTTGGTCAGAAAGTATGAAACTGGATCGTTTTCCTTTGAGGCGCTGTAAAGATGATCAATAATTATAAATATTATGTAGAGCATTATATTTTTACGTTTGATTAGAAGATAATAGGTGGAAAATACGATGAAAATGTGGACATAGAAAAATCATGTAGAAAAACAACAAAGTAATTCAAATCAAGAAAGCCAGTATTAATGTAATGGGTCAATATCCTCTTAAGTTTTATTTTTGGTATTTTTTAGTTATGTCCCCTTTCAAATTTATGGGTTTCCTAAGAACGCAATGTATTTATTAAATAAATAAATAAAAAATAACTAAAAACTGTTGTAATTTGGATTTAAATTTTGTTAAAGTTAAAGAGTCTAGAGTGTTGTCTAATTACTATTAATAAATAAAAACAATTTCAAGTTCAAAGCAAAATATTCTCTTCAAACAAGCTTACATGAATTTAATTTTCGGACACTCCTCAGTGTCGTCAAAACATCTAAACCCCATTCCACCCAAAAAAGAAACCTTGCCGTCGGATCAACCCAAAATCTTTCTACCTTTTATTAAAGGTGTCACTGACAAAATCAGTAGAACTCTTTTTCCTCTAAACATCAAAACCATCTTCACTACTCACTCCAAGTTGTCCAATCTCGTCAGATCCGTAAAAGACCAAATCCCTAATGAAGACCATGGCGTCTACGAGATACCTTGTTCCAGTTGCCCACGTACATACATCGGACAGACAAACTGACGAATCCATAACCGTATCTACGAACATTCTATATCAGTAAAACATTCCGATACTACTTCAGCCCTAGCCCAACATCATATTCATACAGGCCACAAAATAGACTTCGAAAAAGCAAAAACTATCGCCCCCATCCGCTCCTTAAAATCAAGAATCATTCGTGAAGCTATTGAAATCGAAAAACGGCCTAACAGCTTAAATACGCGCGATGACGCGAAACGATTGCCGGCAACATGGCGACCCCTACTTCAGCGACCTCCCGCCCACACTACTCAGACCACGTCAGCTCAGACCACGTCAGTCCATACCGTTTCCGCGCGTACAACGAGTATAAAAGCAGCGACACAGAGTATATATATATATATATATATATATATATATATATATATATATATATATATATATATATATATATATATATATATATATATATATATATATATATATTATTCCAAATCCACTTGGTATGCTTCCTATACACTTTTACTAGGTTTACAATAAGTCTCCTTGATAGGCACATTATCTGTTTTCAAAACGGAAGTGCCGATTTTATTTCTGTTTATTTTACAATTCATTTTTTTCTAAGAATCAATGTCAAATATGGTTAGGTGAATGAAACCATAGGTGTCGCAGACAATATCCCCATTACACACACACACACACACACACACACACACACACACACACACACACACACACACACACACACACACACACACACACACACACACACACACACACACACACACACACACACACACACACACACACACACACACACACACACACACACACACACACACACACACACACACACACACACACACACACACACACACACACACACACACACACACACACACACACACACACACACACACACACACACACACACACACACACACACACACACACACACACACACACACACACACACACACACACACACACACACACACACACACACACACACACACACACACACACACACACACACACACACACACACACACACACACACACACACACACACACACACACACACACACACACACACACACACACACACACACACACACACACACACACACACACACACACACACACACACACACACACACACACACACACACACACACACACACACACACACACACACACACACACACACACACACACACACACACACACACACACACACACACACACACACACACACACACACACACACACACACACACACACACACACACACACACACACACACACACACACACACACACACACACACACACACACACACACACACACACACACACACACACACACACACACACACACACACACACACACACACACACACACACACACACACACACACACACACACACACACACACACACACACACACACACACACACACACACACACACACACACACACACACACACACACACACACACACACACACACACACACACACACACACACACACACACACACACACACACACACACACACACACACACACACACACACACACACACACACACACACACACACACACACACACACACACACACACACACACACACACACACACACACACACACACACACACACACACACACACACACACACACACACACACACACACACACACACACACACACACACACACACACACACACACACACACACACACACACACACACACACACACACACACACACACACACACACACACACACACACACACACACACACACACACACACACACACACACACACACACACACACACACACACACACACACACACACACACACACACACACACACACACACACACACACACACACACACACACACACACACACACACACACACACACACACACACACACACACACACACACACACACACACACACACACACACACACACACACACACACACACACACACACACACACACACACACACACACACACACACACACACACACACACACACACACACACACACACACACACACACACACACACACACACACACACACACACACACACACACACACACACACACACACACACACACACACACACACACACACACACACACACACACACACACACACACACACACACACACACACACACACACACACACACACACACACACACACACACACACACACACACACACACACACACACACACACACACACACACACACACACACACACACACACACACACACACACACACACACACACACACATGTTCCGAATAAGACACCTCATCTGACAGATGCCACCAAAGAGTAGTTGCCAAAGATGGTTTGTTTTATACATTTAATATAACTGAATAATATTCCATAACAAACTGTAGTAATGACTCATTTTTTTCATTGATGCTTGTGCAGCTTACGTCAGGTGATGCTCATTCGCATCACCACTGATGAGCAGTTGCAGCCCATTTAACCTGCAATGTCTCGCTAGCTGTTCCTCAGGGAGGTTATTCCATGTAAAGGATCATCATACTCCCTCCGTGATCGTCATCATTATTGTCGTTAAATCCTTAAAACAGTAATTCACCAACGGCGGTATTGATAGATCTCTTATTTGACAGTGGTAATCCCAGGACTGGATAAAATCTTTCCATGGCAATAGTAAGTTCTAAAATAGTAGTAGTAAGTTAGTAAGTTCTGAAGTATGCTGTAGTTTCGTCTGTAGATGGTCTTAAATGATATATTTTCCAGTCTACAATAAGCCTGCAAATGCGAAGTCTTCAATGCTTTGTAAGAGGACTAGTCGATTAAAAAGTTTAGGATTTGTCTAGCCTCATCGATCTTCCAACTGTTTAATAATTAGTTGTTCATCGTAAGGTCTACATTTTGTCCTGCCGTCTATATTCAAATCTGCTCCCTCCTACAGGCCTTTATTAGACCTCATCATACCCACAGTCCATTTTTGAGTGTACGCGTTAGCACAATTCATCCGCAGGTTCCTTGCACTAAACATTGTTTTATTGAATCCACTGCAGTAATTCTGACTTCCGCTGGAAGTCTCATTCAATGCTTGTTCCAGTTTATTAAAGATTAGCTGACCAACTTGAGAAGTTAAAAAAAGAAGAAGGTTAAGCTATTACTCCAGATGTAATTAGAAATATCATTAATTAATTTATTCGAACAGTAATCTAAATGAAAGGTATACTGTTGGTATGTAGTAAATGGTTTTAGGTGTGTGCGCATTATGAATGTAATTATTGCTATAATAATTAGAAGGATATAGGTTTTATTGTATTTCCGTAATCCTGTTGTTTAGCCAATAAGTGGACACTAGCTAATGTATTATGACAAACTTTTACCGCATTAGTATATTTTTTTTTTCGGATACGTCATATGTTCTATGATATATTAAAGACTAAAATTAAATATACAATGGACTTTATAAATAATATTTGAAGTAAGATATACTTAAAAGTACAACACATATTTAATTTCAGATTTGATGTGAATTCGCCCTATTTCTTTACTCCAGCGATACGTTCGAGAATTGTTCAGTTTATATTAGATAGAAAGAGATATAGTGATAATAACAATGATTTTGACTTTGGTCTGGAAAGACTGTTAAACGATAGAGTTTATTCAGCGGGATATCCGTTACATGATGTAAGTTTTCAATGATCATTTATTGTATCAACCTTATAGAATACTTGATTTCATGTGACAAATTGGTATGGCCAATTCTCACATTATATGAATAACTTGATGAAAGGGAATTATTATACGTTCACATTTTTACATTGTCCTAAAGTATTTATAGCTCAATATGGTTTTAGGGTGACTTGAAACATTCTGATTCGGCAAGAAGTTTGTTATACACAGAATGGGCAGCTTTAAGAAGATGGTACAGATACCAACCATTGGATTACGTAAAAGAGTATTTTGGTGTCAAAATAGGGTTTTACTTTGCTTGGTTGGGATTTTATACACACATGTTAATTCCTGCCGCCATTGTTGGTTTACTCTGTTTTTTATACTCCTGCGCAACATTGTATAATAACATACCAACGTAAGTAATATTACAATTTTTAAAATAAACGTCGAATTTTTTTTTAAATAATTCAGTAATAAAACTATAATGTATTCATTAACAGAACCCTCACTTTAATCTAAAATATATATAGACAGTAAACATTAAGATTGTTACGTGTATATTTCGTGTAAGAAAAAAATTGTCATGAGTATACATAATTAAAATGTTTGCGGGACTTATTATATCATGAATAGAGGTAGAACTTAAAAATGTTCGCCTATATAAACATAATGTTATTCTAAATGGTCTAATATAATAATAGGCACAATTTTGGTTTAAATATTGAACTGTTTTTAATACTCTAATTTATTAACTTTATTTACTATAAAAATGTTCTAACACTTAGTTTATTAGAGTCTTTATTTAATTTATATATATATATATATATATATATATATATATATATATATATATATATATATTAAATATCCGTTATTCTGGAGTTCCTTTGAAGCGGACGGTGACCTTTGCTGAATGTTCTCGATCGCCATGGAACAGGTTTTAGGAGGGAACTCTATTAAAAAATACTTGTTAGAAATAATATGTTTACAGTTTAGGTTATGAGTTATATTTATCGTAACAATATTAAGCCGTGAAAGTAATTTTATATCCTCAATCAGGAGTGAAAATTTAAACAAAGTGGACTGATTTAGCTGATTTTGGGTTATGTTTCTATAGTAGTAACAGAATTTAGTAATGTATATTTGTCAAATATGTTAAAAGAATACATTTAAATTTTTGTTATTTTAGTGAAGATATTTGTCACGAAAAAATTAAAGAAAAAATGTGTCCTCAATGTGATGTATGGTGTGATTATTGGAATATATCCGAATCGTGTGTCCATTCAAGAATTACATATCTATTTGACAATCCGACAACTGTATTTTTTGCAATATTTATGTCAGTTTGGGGTAAGTTAATTTAATTTATGTACTAATAACAACAAAACTCTAAACTTAATTTAATTATCAGAGGCGTTCGGGATCTTCTTTTTTTAGAATACATTGTATTCGGGCTATATAGAACAAAATTTGGAATTATTTCCTCCTGAACATAACCATAGAGCTTTCCGGGGTGAAACCGTACTTATCCAAAATGAAAAAGCTGGCTAAAGGAATTTAAAAGTGCACGAGGAACAGATACGGTTTCAACCAGAGACAAAACCCAAAAGTCAAACAGAAGAAAAAGATACAATGACGACGCTCTTATTAAAAAAAACAAGGACCGATGACTGAAAATAAACCTATTAAAAACTTTCCATGTGGAGCAAATATAGAAAAACTTTAAGAATCAAAACTGCAAACCAACCGTTGGGATGAAAAAATAAGGAAACAGGAATTGTGTAGCTCCAGATACACGACAGCTGATATAAGTAAGGAAGAAAATCAAAGAAAAATATGTTATAAAAGGAATCCTCGGAAGATTAAAAAAATTGCGCATTGTACTTGGGTAGTGCCGACAGAAGTGACTTCTTATACTTATTATATTATATTTACTTCTATATACTTCTCTATACTTCTTATATTTTTATGTCTGCTTATTACTAAATTGTTAATATTTTAAATAATTAAGTGTATATCATGTATATCGCAAGGTTGCTGCAATCGTCTCGGTCACGCATAAGAAGCATTCACTTCCAAAATAAAACAATGATGTAGTAGTAAAAATATTTTTTTAAAATGGGCGATTTATATCCACGAAATGACGAGAAATATTACTTTTGAGTACCACTTGTAAAATAATGTCAAAGAATATAATGAAAAGATCCCGGAGGGACACGATGGTTACAAATAGCGCAGATACTCGAGGAAAACCATCAGCAAGTGGCGTGTACAACAGGAAGTCACGTCTACATATTTTTTCGCATCACCTTTGATAATATATGCCGCAGTTGCAGTCGAAACGATAGGAAAGAATAATTCCAGACCACGCCTATATACCCCAAATACAATGTACCAGTAATTTTATTATTGTATAACTGTGACTGTGTGTAAAGTGATATACTCGGTTCGCTATTTCCAGTCCGAACTGTCTAGTGAATTTAGTAATTATTATTTTGCGAAGTTTTTTTTTTATGTGTGTTTTTGGCTTGGACAATTGTCATTCAGCCAGTCTCAATCAAGATAAGTTTATTAATGTAGTGTGTGTGTGTGTGTGTTTGTGTGTGTAGAGTAATTGTCTTGATACTTAGCAAAGTCGACGTCATTTTGTGAAGTTAGTTACATCACCGGTTACATTTTGACCGACTAAAGGTCGATTCACACACATCAGTCACGTCACAGTCACGGTACCGAACCGGTCCTGTTTGGTCACAGAACTATCAACTATCTGACAGCTGGCAAACTGTTCGTCAACTGATGAGTGTGAATGCCGGCGCCATATTTGTATTAAAGAATATTTTGTATGACGGATTGTTCGATTCGGCGCAATCACTGTGACGAGATGGTGACGAGACGTGACTGATGTGTCTGAATCGACCTTTAAAGTGGCAGGAAATTACTATACAACCAAGCACACGTACTCATAGCCAATATTAATAGTAAACAAACTAAATAGTAAATAAAATAGAACTTTGCGAATTACCGAAAATCCATATTTATTTATCTGCACCATATAATAAATAGTTATGTTAAATTATAACAACTAAAATATATTTTTTAAATATAATACTACCCAAAATTTGATGAGTTTAGTATACACTTCCACTATTTAGAATAATTCTTCTTTTTTCAAAAGAAGAAGTCTGCAATAGTAGTATACTCATCGAGCAAAAAGACAAAAGAGGGAATGTAAAGGTAATGGTGGCAAAAATATTGTTAGACAGGAAGTGCGATCTTTAGAGGCCACATTAAACAAGGAAATAGAGTATCTCTCCTTGTTTGACATCAAATTTAGTTGGGTTATGTTATTGTTTGTCCCAAATGTCACATGAAATCTTATTTATATTGAAGTTTTTTAACAATTGTGTCGCATTTTTTGGTCTCCTTTTCATAAGGATTAGATTCCCTCTCTTGTCTTTTTGCTCGATGAGTATACTTGACCTATTAATACTGAGAAGTAGGAATTGTTGTGTTGTAGGTTTCCGACAATGAATCTGTCAAAATATGCCCGAGCTAAGCGAATGGAGTATAAGAAGAATGTCCAGACAGTAATTCATTATTTTCAATATTTTTCTGAAACTGCCAAAATTATTAGATTTATTGTGGTGAAATATATGATTAGTGTTAAATAATATCAGATCAGTATAAATCAGACGGTATATCTTGCATTGTGCAAGAGAAATTGACATGAGCGCTTTCGAACTGAAGCGCATTAATATGTGCACAGACAGTCCAGCGGCCATGAGGACTTTTATAATCCTAAAGGTAACCCCTAGGCTAGTATGGAAATAATGAAAACTCGAGAGAATGACGGAACATAACAATATCATATTGGAAGGGTTCCAGGTAACCAAAAGAGGGTCAGCTACAAAATACTTCGGACCAGAGCCGAAGAACTGCCAAAAAGCACCGTCCCTGACCGTAAAAAACCCAGGAACCTCTTAATGGGAGGGTACACCGGACAAGCCCATGACAAAACGTATATTGAATTTACAACTGTTAAAAGTGTTGAAGTACTATGTAAATCAAGTAGGAATCAGCTCAACGCCATACCAAACTTCTTAACTGGACGTGCGTCAGTCAGAGACACCTGCATACAACTGGACTGTTTCATGGAGACTTAAACTGCAGAGTGATAGGAACTGTTGGCTGTATGAGGATATACTTCACACGAAGTGCTTCACACAGTTTTCAATTGTATTATTCAGAATCAAGCCCATTTCGTTTAAATTGATATAAGGTTGAATGCTCGAATAAATGAACTTTGAAAAATGAAAGGCAAATATCGAGCACAATTTTAACAATTAAATCTTGCCCAAGTACTTTCGCTTACTACAGCATCTTCAGGGCATTTCGTCAAATTTGGGCTATCCAGCAACCGTAGAATGTGATAAACATGAATTTTAACATAAAATTGTACAAAACACTACACTAAAACAAGGACAAACAGTTTAAAATTAATTAAAATGGTTCTACGCTCTACATTCTTTGTCAGTAACAGGAGAGAGAAACATTTCTCTTACTTGTGCTAACTAGTTCTACCCCAAATAACCTCAGCTCAATAAAACCTATAAGATTTCGCTTATTTGTGTACTCAACTAGAATAATTCAAATGAAGGACTTGAAAAATAGCATTAAAAACCAAATATTTGATATATTTGATAAAAAGAGAGGATGAGTATAAAAGCTACTCCCATTTATAATAATAGGCACTTACAAGTTGTAAAGGTGCACAAAGTTTATTAGAACTACAGTATCGTAAGAATTTTAAGGAGTGATAGCATTCTTTTTTTTTTGTCACCATTAATGATAAACTAATTAGCAAAACCTGACTTAACTTTAACTTTAAATATAAATTTTGATCACATATTTCTGTTGTAGCGACTTTATTTTTGGAAATGTGGAAAAGATATTCGGCAGAAATAACCCATAGATGGGACGTCTCTGGTTTTGATATACAGGAAGAACATCCACGACCTCAGTATTTAGCGCGCTTAGCTCATGTTAAACAAAAGGAAGTTAATGTCGTTACAAATACAATGGAACCGCGTGTACCGTTTTGGAAATTAAGGGTCCCCATGACGATATTGAGCTTCTCTGTCGTTCTACTTTTAGTAAGCAAATTTTATAGCTTTGTGCTTGTTTTTGTTGGAATCTAATTGAATTTATATTTTAAATAAATAAATTACTCGAAACAATTTATTGATTTCTAATAAATGGATTACAATATTAATCAATAAATTCAAACTAGATTTTGCTGCTTTTCTAAATATTTCAATATCTGTACTATTTATTAATAGTGGTGAACAGATTTCCATAGACTACAAGACCAGCGTAACACTCTTATTAATAATATGTAAAATTCCAAATCTGTCGTAATCCAGATTTCTTGGACTTTATTATATATTATATTATATTATTATTATCTAAAGATGTCTGCTTGTTTTTTTTTTTTTTTTTTTGAAGACATCTTTTTTAAACCAGTCATATTTCAACCAATTGGCTTGTTGCACATCTTCTATTTTTTATGATGTCCATTACAGTCTTCATGAAACAGTCCCATTGTATGCAGGTGTCCCTTGTCACCTATTTATTATTTATCCAAGATTGCATAAATTGTAACAATATAACTACCCTCTGAAAGTTGGGTGCCAACGTGTAACAGTAAAACTACAACTTTTGAGAGCCAATTGCGCAAGGTTTCGTCTAGCTTAGTCCCTCATGTGTGAGAACGTCTTAATCTTATTCTGTATCTTAATTGCAAATCTGAAAAATTAGTTTGGCTGGAACAAATAAAACTGTATATTAACTAATCATAGTTTACAAATTGAATTAAATTTTAATATAAAATAAAGAGAGCAAATCCTGCCTTTACAAGAATTTGGAAATAATACTTATGGCATATATTGTTGGCGTAATGTAGTTGGATAGCTTATTGAAAGTAGCTAACTGGATGGTTGTAGAATGCAGCTAGTGCGGTTGCTGGTTTAAGATACTTTTTGGAATGTGGCTGACTGTATAATGGATTATATAACTTCAGGGAGATATTGAGTTTTCATAGCAGCGGTCACTTACTGCAGTGTATTAATCTCTATGCTCCACCATGTGGTTAAAGTAAGGTCCCTTCCTAACAAGTGGACTAGAAAAATATAATTTCGGCAAAAAAACTAAAATAATAAGCCTTCTGTTAGTAACGTCATTACTTTTTCTTGTGATATTTTACCACGATTACAAGTAATTACAATTCTAAAAAAAATCTTCGTCGCCACTCATTTCTGTCCATCGGGTCTTCTTAACCTAAACCTTTCTTTTTTTAAGTCATCTGCAGGTAGTTCTTCCATCTTATCCTCGGTTACCTCTACCTCTTCTTCCATCAACTTCTAATAGCTCTATCCTTCATTTTTATCTCTACGTCTTAAATGACCAAACCTTTGCAGTCTTTGTTCTTGAATATTTTTTGAGAATGTAGTCACCCAGGCTCTTTCCCTAATAAAGTCATTTCTAATCCTTTCTCTTCTAGTTTTACCCAACATCTACCGTAACATTTTCATTTATTTTATCTTATTTTCCTGGATCTTCTTTACAGGCCACACTTCACCGCCGTACACCAACGTAGGTCTCACCACACTCTTTTATAGCTTTCCTTTTAGCCCTTCTCCGATTTTTCGATCACAAAGTTTCACCCTTCTTCGATTCCAGTTAAACCAATTGCGCAAAGCAAACAGCTTGTATCCTGTGGGCAATTTCTCGATCTAGTGTCCCATTTTTCATTAGGTAGGAGCCAAGGTATTTAAATTCTCCTACTCATCCTAGCTTTTCTCCAAGCAATTCGGTATCCTCAACCATTCCGCTTTCTCCTCCCAATCGCATATACTCTCTTTTCGATCTGCTAACTTTAGTCCTCCCTCTTCAATAGACTTTCTCCAATATCCCAACTACTCCTCCAACATTTCTTTGTTCTCCTCTACTAATACGATATCATCAGCAAAGAGCATTTACCAATGAGCCCCCTCCCGTACTTTCTCGGTCAGTACATCCATAAAAGATTAAACAGGTAAGGACTTCCTCTCCTAGAGCCTTTCAAACCTCCACAGGAATTCCATCATCTACTGCCTTACTGTTCGTCCTCGGTTTTACATTCTCATTTGAGATCCCGAATCCTCTGTCTCTCCTCTGGTGTTCTTCATTTAGCAACTTATTAAAGTACTCATACTATCTTTGGTTTATTTCAACATCGTTTCTTAATACTCTTCCTTCCGCAGTCTTAATCTGCCGCACGTGGCAATCTTGCTTTAGCAATGCTGTGTAACCTTTTTATCCCCTGTGGTGTTTCCAACTCTTTATACAGCTGTGCAGACGATCTTTCCTTAGCAGTAGCTGCAGCGCGCTTTGTTTTCCTCTTTGCCACCTTGTATATATCCTTATCTTCTTCTCTTTTAGACCTGTCATGCCTCTTTCTAGCCTTTTAATTCTTCTAACCTTATGTTGCCCCTCATAGTTCCATCATTAAGTTTCTTTGTCTCTTCTTCTTCTTCAAGTGCCCTGTCCGTTGCGAACGTTGGCTATTAACATGGCAATTTTGATCTTGTTTGCGGCGCTTCTGAATAGTTCAACCGATGTGAGCCCGAACTACTTCCGCAGATTTTGGAGCCACGAGTGTCTTCTCCTGCCTGGCCCTCGCTTACTGTCTATTTTTCCCTGGACAATCAATTGTAGCAGACGGTACTTATCGTGTCTCAATATGTCGCCTAGATATTCAAGCTTTCTTTGTTTAATTGTATTCACGATTTCTTTCTCCTTTCCGATTCTTTGGAGTATCTCTATGTTGGTGACATGTTCGGTCCAGGATATACGAAGAATGCGTCGGTACACCCACATTTCGAATGCTTCTAGTTTTCTCGTTAGCGTCTCCGTCAGCGTCCAGGCCTCCACGCCATACAGCAAGATCGGAAAAATGTAGCATGTAACTAGACGTATTTTTAGGGGAAGAGACAAATCCTTGCTTATAAGGAGCTTTTTCATACTGCTAAATGCTGCCCTAGCTCGTTCTATTCTCGCCTTAATTTCTATGGTCTGTTCCCATTTTGCATTTACGTTGGTACCAAGGTACACATAAGATTCTACATGGTCAATTAGTATGTTACTTATCCGTAATTGTCGAGCAGGTTGTTGCTTTTTGCTTATCAGCATCCACTTTGTCTTCTTGAAGTTGAGGCTCAGACCGTATTCCTTACTAACTGAATAAAGTCTTTCCATTACGTGTTGTAATTCGTCTATGGTACTGGCAAGGATCACCGTGTCGTCGGCATATCTTATATTGTTCGTTAACTCGCCGTTTATTTTTATGGATCTTTGTCTCTAGGAGACCCTTTATTAGATATTTTTCCTAGCACTTCCTTTCCCACTCGCACCATAACTTTTTAGGCCTTCGTGTAGTTTTTGATTGGATACATACCATGGGGCATATGTTATCATGTATTTTGGATTGACTTATTTTGTGTAATAGAGTTAGAGTAATGATGTTCGACTTGCTTACGCATCCCCATAGTTCCTCCCCATATGTCCAGATGGGTATTATGAATATTTTAGAAATAATAAGTTTGTGTTCTACTGATACTTTGGACTTTCTACCGATTGGCCAGTAAATATCTTTGACTTTCAAATCAATTTGTTTGCGTTTTTTGGTTATGTGTTCTTTCCAGGTTAGTTCTCTATCTATTGTGGATAAATATTTGGTATTTGTATGTTATTTAGGTATACTGGTGGGCACTGGTGCTTCCTTGGTGTAAAGGTAACTTGCATAGATTTCGTTTCAATAATTTGATTTTCCCATTTTGTCATTTTTCTATTTGCTCCAAGTTACTGTAGAGAATTGTGGAAGCTCTTACTGGGTTTGCTTTTCTTGCAAGGATAACAGTGTCATCGACAAATGTACCTATTGTGGTTTCTCTAGTAACAGGACGTCTGTTGCGAATAGTACATATAGGAGTGGACTTCCTTGTGGTACACAACTCTCTGTCACTTAGATAAGATCTTAATAATTTGAAGTAGTTGATGGGAAGTACTTCATTGGCGATACTTTGTTTCACTTAAATCATGTGATTCACGTAGTTGTTCCACTTTTCTGGAGTACCTTAATTAGAACCTTCACGGATTAAGTTACCTACTTTAGCCTCTTTAAAGTTTCGAATTCAATTCGCTGTGATATGGAGGTAGTCGTAAAAATTTAACATTGTTCTGTTTAGCAATATCATCGATAATATAACCGTCATGCTGTGACTTAATAGTATACCACCAGTATAACAGTAGTTTACCACCTGTAACAATTCATATTTCATGTAATCTTCAAAATATAAAACTTTTGACAGTAACCATTTCTTTATTTCTTCTCTGTTACTACTTGTATTGGGAATTTTTTCCAATTTCATAGGATGCATTGTCCATTACCACAACCGTTTTTTCGTAGGTTTGGTAGAAGTTGGGTCTTAAACCAATTTTCAAAAACAGGGCCATCGATTTCATCGTGGTCATTTGTGGTGTTCTTTTTTGCCAAAAAAGCAAAAATAATAATAAGCAAAAAGAATTAAAAAATAGACATTTAGGTAATGTTAATCACGGGCTAATTATAATATTCAAATGCTCTATTGTTAATATCGTATAAATACCTTTTATAGTATCTATGAATTAGTTAAAAATAATAAAACCCAAACACAGATTTTTAAATCAAGGTGTTAGGAGACTTCTGGAATATTCTACTTAGACGGACTTGAAGTATTTTCGCCTACATAAAACCGGCAAGACTGAGCTCCAAGGTTCCATAAGAGTTAAATAGCCATATGCTGCTCGTACTACAAAATGACCGCGAAACGCGCTAAGATGTTGTCAGTCATAGGTTTTTTGTTTTTGGCATTCTTAAGAACATCATTGAAAGATTTATAGCATAGCTAGAAAGATTTTCTTGCGAAAATCTTTCTAACTATTTAAAATAGGATCGCGTTTATAATAATATAATGTAATAATAATAATAAATATTTTATAATTTTTATTGAACTAATTTTATTGTATTTTAGATTACACTGGCGTTAGCAACTGTTGTGGCTGTGGTTATGTACCGAATGTCCGTTTTGGTATCGTTAAAAGCATTTAATCCATCGTCAACGGTAGTTGTGGACAACAGCTCAGCTATGTTATTTACGACATGCACGGCAGCATGTATCAATTTAGTTTTTATTTTTATTTTTAATTATGTAAGTATCCAAAACTGTTCTATATTATATTTACTTTATGCAAAAAATTTAAGTTACTCTTAAATTTTTTAGATTTTATGCCATAAAAATAATCAGTATATACTGCAGTGCGTTAAGCAAAGCTCTGGTATAATTCCTCGCTATTTTGAGACCAGCTGGGGATGTGTTTTTTGTTATTGGTATATCCTATTGGTATGTGTTGCTTTGCTATTCTTAACATTGCACTATCAATTCGGTTGTAATTTTTGGTAATATATGTCATCAACCCCAGGCATTTATCCAGGTCGGTAGAAAAACCATTCTAGTTAGCTTTTTTAAAATTCCATCTTGGGCGTAGGGTAGAACTGATTAGGGCGATTTGCGGCCCTTTTTTTCGTTTAAATATTACTGAACAATGTTGGGTGTGTAGAAAATCAGTTAGAACTTTTCGTGAAGCTCTTAAAGGTAAGACTCTGTCGGTCGAAACAAAGCATAAGTCTGGATTGTATTCCTGCCTTCAGGCTGCTGATATGAAGGTTGGTAGATCTTTGATATCAAATATTCCGGATGAATATTTTACGAAAGAAATATACTATTATAAATTGTAAAAGTTATGAAAAATGTACCGTTATAAATTAATTTCTCTAAATTATAATTGTATTCTTAGGAATATGACGTTTTTGGATATCTCAAGACTCTAGTGATTTATAAAATTAAATCTAACAAATTCAAGAGAGTATTTCAGATTTGTTTATATTACAGAAAGCTTAATAGTTTTGATAAAAATACTTCTAGGAACTCTGTAAACAATAAAAACAGTTTCTTGTCTTTTTAACTCCATTAATTAAAAGTCTAGAGACTTACTGGTTGTTGATTACTATTTACTGTAAATTATTTTTTTAATATATTAATATTAAACTGAAAAATTCTTTCAAAAAGAAAAAAAATGAAGTATTCAAGTCAACATTATTAAAATAATTACATATTTAGCTACGTGCAATATTTCTATTACAAATAGCACACAATTTGATGGCCTAGGAATCTTATTGATGATTTATAACGGACTTGAGAGGAAATATGTATAAGATGTTAATTTCCTTTGTTTCAGATATATTCCTACATTGCGGAGTACTTAACAGAGTTTGAATTACTCAGAACACAGACTGAATTCGATGATTCTATAACGCTTAAAATATATTTACTCCAATTTGTTAATTATTACGCTTCCATTTTTTACATCGCCTTTTTTAAAGGTAAATTTGTTGGGTACCCGAAGGAATACAATACTATTTATGGTTACCGACAGGAAGAGGTAAGTAATTTTATAATTGCAATACTAAAAATAATGTTCCAGTCTGTTACGTTCATTATGGAAAATAAGTCATAGTTTATAATCAAAGTAATATATATATATATATATATATATATATATATATATATAATATATATATATATATATATATATATATATATATATATATATATATATATATATATATATATATTATATATATATATATATATACATATTTATATATATATATATATATATATATATATATATACATATATATTACATGAAGCTACGATTATTATGGGAGACTTAACGCAAAAGTTGGTGCCGAAATAACACAAGATATAAACGAAAAGTATGGACTTAAAGAAAGGAAGGAAAGAGGGCAGAGACTAATATGCCAAGAAGAGAATTGCATTATAGCAAATACTTTGTATTTGCTACTTTTCATTGGATGTTAGGTTTGTCATATTGTTCTTTTTAGATGAACTGATGATGCTATCAAATTGGATAGCGAAACGTTTTCAATAAATAGATGAAGTAGCCATCATCTTTGTCTTTTTTCTCTCATTTTTGACCGAAAAACCCGCCACTCTTCGAGTGATCCTTATTATATATATATATATATATATATATATATATATATATATATATATATATATATATATATATATATATATATATATATATATATATATATATATATATATATATATATATATATAAAGTAAACTTTACATATTGGGTAAGCAGCAATAAAAATGAAAGGTGTACTCTTTTAAATTTTTATTTTTATTCCATTGTCGACGACAACCCATTTTGTATTTGAACGGTCCGCCACTGCAGCCCAGCCAGCCAGCTAGTCGGTACAGACGACAGATGACAGAATGACATTCCATCACCAGCCGTTGAGAAGCATAGAACTATTTGTTATTGTTTTCATATTTTTGTGCAAATTCATAAATAAATGCAGTATTTTAGACTATTAATTAATTTCAATAAATACAGTCCACTACAACAATAAACATTGGTCCATTCGACCCGATATTTGTGATAAAATCAGTGCTAAAAGTGATTCACAGTTAACGGTCAAGTGAAAGAACACGTGGGATTGCCGAACAATATACAGCCAAAAATACCGGTGAGTTCCCATCTGATTCCTATACCTATTTATACTGTTTTTGTTTGTGTAAGTTGCATAAAACTATTTACAATCTATATATCTATTTAAATTCAATTCGAATCTATTTGATTAATAAACAATGTCGGACGAACACTTAAAAAGATTAATTAGAAAACGTGCTGGTCATAAAGCTTCATTTACAATTTTCTCCAAATTTCTAGAGTCTATTAAATGCAAATTAGAATTACATGATGTTGAAAAAATCGAACTAAGCGACAGAATAAATAAACTAGAAAATACATTTTTAGAAATTAAAATTATCCAATCAGAAATAGAAGAATTGGCAGACGATCCCGAACCACACTTTGTGATAAGGGAAGAACTTGAAAACAATTTTTATTCACTATCGGCTAATGCCAAAGCATTGTTAAATAAATTCATTTCAGATATTGATGATAAACAGTCGGTGACAAGCGAGCATACAAACAATAACACTTCTATTTCTGACGGGGCTTATCGTTTACAATGTGTAAAACTGCCAACAATACAAATTCCAAAGTTCGACGGCACATACGAATTTTGGCTAGAATTTCGAGACACTTTTGAGTCACTCATTCATACAAATGATAGTATTACAAATATTCAGAAGTATCATTATCTTCGGGCATCATTACAAGGAAATGCCGCCGCAGTCATAAAACCTATCGAATTTTCCGCAAACGGGTACAATTTGGCATGGGACTCTGTATGTGATCGATACAATAATAAAAAACTCTTAATACACAATCATATTAAAGCTTTATTTTCATTGGAATCTATTCACAAAGAATCTTTTGTAAAATTTCGTAAATTAGTAGATGATTTTTCAAAACATTTAAAGTCACTTCAACAATTAAATCAGCCGTGTGAACAATGGGATGCCTTACTTATATTCATTATAACATCAAAACTAGACGAAACTACTATTAGGGAATGGGAAAAGCATATTGCTACTCAAACGGAACTACCAACTTTATCCGATCTAAAAGGATTTTTAAAATCAAGAGCAGATTTTCTAGAGGCAATTGAAATGAACATTGAAACAAAAAATAAAAGTAAGGAGAACAGGACGACTAGGGGATTCTTAGCAACAAAAACAAACTATACATGCGTCTCTTGTCAAGGCGACCATAGCATTTACACTTGCGAAACATTTTTAAATTATCCAATAAACGAAAGGTGGAATTTTATTAGATCAAAATCATTGTGTACAAACTGCTTGCGATCGGGTCACTCCAATAAACAGTGCAAACTCGGGCCATGTCGCAAGTGCAAAGCACGTCACAACTCACTTTTACACAATAATACAAATGATAGGAGCATCATTATAAGCCAAAATAATTCGGGCACGTTCAATAGAAATTCGAATATATCCAATAGCAGTATTAATACAAATCCATCACAAAGTACAAGTGAGCCAATAAATCCAGGAACAAGTAACAATACATTTTGTGGTAACAGCATGCTTTCTTGTTCTGATACAGGCTATATATTTCTCTCAACAGCAATCTTAAGTGTTAAAGATATGAATGGTAAAATGCAAAGGGCTCGTGCACTATTGGATTGCGGGTCTCAATCTTCATTTATCACAACAAACATGTGTAACAAACTAGGAATCAAACCACAGGATGTCAGCTTAAATCTTTTGGGCATAGGCAACAAACTATCAACTATTACAGGTCAATGTCAGTTAGAGATTTGCACATCTAATAATAAATTTGTAAAAATAATCAACTGTTTTGTATTGCCAAAAATAACAAATATTCTTCCTCATACAAACATTGATGTAAGCGCTATAAACATTCCTAATACAATTCGGTTAGCAGATCCTAATTTTGGCAATGCTGGATCTATTGACATTCTTATCGGCGCAGATATTTTTTGGCATTTGATTTGTAAAGGTCGCATATCTTTAGATCAAGGTCCTATTTTAACAGAAACAATATTTGGGTGGATAATTTCTGGCCCGCTGGGATCGGTTCCCCACAATACAATATCTTGCAATCTTAGCACAAATCTGGAACTAACTAAACTTCTTCAGCAAATTTTGGGAAGTAGAGGAATTGCCAAATATTCCTCATCTATCTGAAGAAGAGCAATTGTGCGAGGACAATTTTCAAAAAACTACTACACGTGATCCAAATGGTAGATTCATAGTTATGATGCCATTAAAACAATATCCGCATGTGTTGGGTGATTCAAGGATACAAGCTGAAAGAAGATTTCATCATCTAGAAAAAAGATTAGCACAAAACAATCCTCTTCGCGAACAATATATACAATTCATGCGCGAATATCAGGAGCTAAACCACATGTCGTTAGCAGATATCTCTGAAAACTCTACTGTCGACTACTACATGCCACATCATGGTGTCCTAAAGGAGGACAGTCTTACAACAAAACTTCGTGTCGTGTTTGACGCATCTTCACCAACAAGCAACGGGTTATCATTAAACAATATTCAATGCGTCGGACCCAGTATACAACAAGATCTATTCTCAATTCTCATCCGATTCAGAAAACACAAATTCATCATAAGCTCAGACGTAACCAAAATGTACGGGCAGGTGTTAATTCATCCCAGCCAACGCAGTCTTCAAAAAATAGTCTGGAGGGAAAGTCCTTCAGATCCATTACAACATTTTGCTTTAAATACGGTTACTTATGGCCAAGCATCAGCCAGTTTTCTTGCTATCCGATGCCTTTTCGAGTTAGCTAACGAATGCCAATTGTCGCAACCAGAAATCGCGAAGATATTACGTCAGGATTTCTACGTAGATGACTTGTTAACCGGTGCGGATACTATTACTGAAGCTTCGAACATTTGCCGTGAAGTCTCACGTATTTTACTTACAGGTTGTTTTCCACTCAGAAAATGGATTTCAAATGACCCAAGAGTTTTAGAAAGGGTAAATAATCAAGATGATTCCTTTGGAATTCTAAACCTCTCTAAAGATGGAGTCACAAAAACTTTAGGACTTATTTGGTCATCCCAACGTGATTCACTATTATACAATGTACAATATAACAATTACAAGGAAACTTGTACCAAAAGAGATGTTCTTTCTTTAATTGCAAGAATATACGATCCACTAGGCTTAGTAGGTCCTTGTATCATACTTGCGAAGATTCTAATGCAAAGGCTATGGACTGAAAAACTGAATTGGGATGAAAAATTAAGCGGTTCATCACTAAATACTTGGAATAGATTGAAAAATGATCTTGCCAATCTGAAACAATTAAGTATACCACGTCATGCAGTGTGCAATAATGCTAAAGATATAGAAATACACGGTTTTTCGGACGCATCACAACAAGCCTACGGTGCTTGTATCTATTTAAGAAGTACTAATGACAAGGGAAATATCTCAGTTAAAATTCTATGTGCTAAATCAAAGGTTGCCCCTATCAAAACTCTAAGCATTCCACGCCTAGAGCTTTGCGCAGCTGTATTACTTTCACGTCTTTTAACTAAGGTAATTGAATCCATTAATATAGACCTCAATAAATGTTATTTATGGTCAGATTCCACAATAACCCTTGCTTGGATCAATACTTCTCCTAACAATCTTCAAACCTTCGTAGCTAACAGAGTCTCCGAAATTCAGGTCTTAACAAAGTCCTATACATGGAAGTATGTACCCACACAAGATAATCCTGCAGACCATCTATCAAGGGGATTATCTCCTTCTCAAATACTAAATTCTTCACTATGGTGGGACGGTCCGTCATGGTTGTCTTTAAGGGAAGAATTTTGGCCTCTTTTAAATCCAAAGGTAGACGTTCTACCCGAAATAAAATCTCAAACTATTCTCAATTTTGTTTCCTATTCTCAGCAAGAACAATGGTTTCCATTCAAGGCCTTTTCACAATATTCGCGTTTACTGCGCGCATTTGCATACATCCTTAGATTTAAAAATAATTTATTAACACCCAAAATTCTTAGAGAGTGTGGCTCTCTAACATTAACCAATATTAATGACGCTCGTCGTTATTTATTGAAGATCATACAACTACACTCTTTTCGCGAAGAGTATGATCAGCTGTCAAAACAAAAAAGCGTTAGTTCCAACAGCAAGCTCTTCTCTTTAAACCCATTTATTGACCAGGATGGTTTAATACGTGTTGGTGGTCGCTTGGCTAACTCGGATTTTCTATATGACAAAAAACATCCCATTGTCTTGGATTCAAAACATCATTTCACGATATTATTTTTCCGTCATGAACACCTGCGTCTATATCATGCAGGCCCTCAGCTGCTTCTATCTACTATTCGGGAGACATATTGGCCTATATCAGGCAGAAACCTATCTAGGTTGACTGTTAAACAATGTACCACTTGTTTACGATTTAATCCTAAACCTATACAACCAATCATGGGTGATTTACCACGTGACCGATTACTATACACATTTCCCTTTGCCATCACTGGTATTGACTACGCCGGTCCGTTTTTGTATAAAAATAAGGGCAGAGGTGCCAAATTAAATAAATGCTATACTTCATTATTCATATGTTTTGCTACAAAGGCGATTCATCTTGAGCTCGTAACCGATTTGAGCACTCAAACATTCATGCTTGCCTTGCGCCGCTTTATCGCTCGTAGAGGAAAGCCAGCCAAATTGTACTCAGATAATGGTAGAAACTTCGTAGATGCCATGTCTGAACTTAAAAGATTTTTAAAAATTAACAATGCACACATACAAGATTCATGTACACATGAGGATGGCATTTAATTCCGCCATATTCTCCACATTTCGGGGGACTCTGGGAATCCGGAGTAAAATCTTGTAAATTTCACTTAAAACGTTCACTTAAAAATACAAATCTTACATTTGAGGAGTTTGCAACAATACTATCACAAATAGAAGCAGTACTCAACTCCAGACCTTTGTGTCCTATTAGTCCTGATCCTAATGATTTAACACCACTCTGTCCCGCTCATTTCCTCATCGGTAGAATGCCAACGCTAGCTCCAGAACCAGATCTACTCCAAGAGATTCCACAACGACTCAATAGATTTCAACGCATCCAACAAATTTTCCAAAGTTTCTGGAAGAGATGGTCTTCCGAATACGTCGTCGAGCTACAGAGACGTTCTAAGTGGCAAATATCCAAGGGAGAATTAGTAGAAGGAACTTTAGTCCTTATCAAAGATGACTGTCTGCCACCAGCAAAGTGGAAACTAGGCAGAATAACTCACATACATGACGGATCGCAGAATACCGCTAGAGTTGCAAAAATAAAGACTCAAGAAGGTATCATCACGAGGTCATTCTCCAAAATATGTCCTCTCCTTCCATTAAATTGAAAGATTCAGGATCTTTCAAGGCCGGGAGTATGTCGACGACAACCCATTTTGTATTTGAACGGTCCGCCACTGCAGCCCAGCCAGCCAGCTAGTCGGTACAGACGACAGATGACAGAATGACATTCCATCACCAGCCGTTGAGAAGCATAGAACTATTTGTTATTGTTTTCATATTTTTGTGCAAATTCATAAATAAATGCAGTATTTTATACTATTAATTAATTTCAATAAATACAGTCCACTACAACAATAAACATCCATTAATAATTAAGTTTGTGTGAATGTAAAGTAATTTTTTAAAATTTTAAATATAGGAATAGGTTTTAGCCCGACAGATATAACAGACTGTGATAAATTTTATCAACTTTTTTTATAAAATCATTTATGATACAACCTCATTAAGTTTCTCCCTGATGAAGGACATAACCAATGTCCGAAAGCTTGGAATGAAAATTTAAAAGAGTACACCTTTCACTTTTATTGCTGCATACCCAATATTTAAAGTTTACTTCCTTACGTGGTCAGCAAATACTTCTGGTTCATTATATATATTTAATCATAATATTGTTTTGCTTGTTTATTTTTAAACCTACTTTTAGACATGTTGAAGTTCTTTAAGCAACTTTCGTCAACTTATTTGAAATTATAACATCATCAGCGAAGCGTAAATGATTCTCTACCCAGTATTTAATTCTACATTATCTCAGGTGTCCATTTATTGATCAGTGTGAATATATTTATTAGTGGATTTTTTGACATTGATAATTGAATTGAAAATTCAATTGAAAATTGAAAAAATACAGGCTCCAGTAAATTTAGATTAAGCCTCTTATTTTAGTATTCTAAAATTTATGAGATGCCTCCATATATAGAAAAACTTATATAGAAATAGAAATGAAAAAATTATAAAAAATGTAGAAAAAATTTATACAGTGTTTATACTCCAGTCGTCAGAGACGAAAATGCCACTGAACCTCTAAAAATCGTACGAACAAGCTGAATTTTGCGGAGAATATTAATTTTGTGACCCCGAAAAAGATGCAAAGAAGTTTATCCTTTTTGAACCAAACTTAGTTTATTAATTGATTAGGAAATAAACATTATAAAATATTAAAATTGTATATATTTTCAGTGTGGTACTGGAGGGTGCCTGACTGAACTCTGTATTCAACTCGCAATTATCATGGTTGGTAAGCAAGCCATGAATACCATTTTAGAAATGCTCTTCCCCTTATTCTATAAATGGTTAAATACTCTGAAGGTGAAAACTGGTTTAACAAAGGAACAACAATCTTGCAAACACTGTAGACCGCAATGGGTGAAAGATTACAAGCTAGTTACGTGGGGGCCAAGAGGTCTATTTCCTGAATACTTAGAAATGGGTAAATATATTTTTTTTACTAAAAAACCCTTTGTGATTTTTGTAGTAATATAATGTGATCGTCAAATAAACCAAGCAATAATATATTGTCACCTTTTAAAATAGTGTACAGTCCTCGTCTCTCTATTCGCTCCGTGCGTGACCATGATAGGGGTACCTTGAAACGATACCAGCGTGCGTAGCGGCGAAATATGACAACATTGGACCTCTTTTTACGCATAAATTTTATCAAAAATGTGTACAAATACATGTTGCGTATTTAATTGTGCTAATAATAGCAAAAATAGAAAGTGTAGTTATTTTAGGTTACCAAAGATTATATATAAATTAGAGAAAAGAAAAAGATGTATTCGTGCTATTAATATGAAAAAGTAAATATCACATAATTTCATTTTTATGCCATTGAAATAGGAAAAATTTAAATAATTTACCTTAAATGATATTTCATAAGGCTTCAAGCTAACTGCAGAGTGTCTGATAACTTTAGCTTTTATATCCTAACTTTTACTATTATTGTTTTTAATTATATGCTCTTTCACGTAAAAAACTTGATTTGCCAGTACTAGTGTTTTCCCTTTCTTTTCCGTTTTGGGTTGAAAAGATTTATTATGATGAATTTTGAGAAACCTAGTTTTTAATACTACATTTATTTTGTACATAAACCAAAAAATATAATTAAAAAAATAATTATTAATAATCGTCAATTTCGCATGTATTTAACAATGTCAAACATATGTCAAATGTTTAACCTGAAAATTGGGAGGTCCAAAACTGTCAGATGAAGGCGGTAGGTGTCGCGTCAGTCACTCACTAAGCGAATAACGATATGCAAGGGACCGGGAATTTTCATCGTTATAAGGAGAGATCGTTATAGAGAGAGAGACAAAATTCGGTACTGTAATATTAATAATACTGTACTAAATAATCTATTTTAATTTAAAAAAATTATCAAAACGAATATATGTAAATGAAATATCACTGTATTGTACACCACATAGATTTATTAAAGAATAATATAAGCAACACAGTATAAAAAAATGACTGTACAATTAAAACATGTGTACTGTACAATAACAAAATAATATGCTGCTATAAAATATATTTAGCCTTCTTCTTCTTATGGTGCCCTATCCAATTAGTGGATGTTGGCGACGATTCTGGCATACTCCTCTCGATCTTGTGTGGCTGTAAAAAGTGCATGCGCATCGAGGTTTGTCTAATTCCTTATGTTTTTAAGCCATGAGTATTTCTTTCTTCCGATGCCTCGTTTTCCTTCTATCTTCCCTTCCATAATAAGTTTTAAGATCTGGTACTTGGAATTTTGAAATGTATGACCGAGATAAGCAGTTTTTCTTCTTTTTAATATTAGCACTAATTCTTGTTCTCTGTCCATTCGATTTAATATTTCGACATTTGTTGTATAATCTGTCCAGGGAATTTTAAGTTGTCCTCTAAATACCCACATTTCAAAGGCCTCCAATCGGTTCATCACATTGGCCTTTATGATCCAGGTTTCTACACCATATAGCAGTATGGAGTAACTATAACATTAAGCGTTAAGTTGAGGCTGCTGTTGCTTAGCAAGGTTCTCATATTAGTAAATGCTGTTCTGGCTTGCTCAATCCTGCTACGTATATCTATGTCTGGATCTAGATCTTCAGTTATCCAACTACCGTGATATCTGACCTTGGAAACCTTTTGGATGTTCTTGTTGTTTACTCTTATATTAAATTGTATATTTCGTGTTCTACTAACCACCATTATCTTCTTCTTGTCTATATTAATCCTCAAGCCCTGTCGTTCTCCTTTAGTGTTTATTCTATCTATTAGTCGTTGTAGCGCTTTACTACTACTATTACTAATAGTCTGTCCGTTGATTTTGATTCCATCTTCAGTGTCACTTAAGGCTCTATCGAAAATCGTTTCAGAGTAAAGATTAAAAAGGAGGGGTGACAGAACACAACACTATCGTACACCTTGTTCGATTGAGAAATATGATGTAGATTCCAGTCCTACTCTCACAGATGCACTTGATTCATATAAAGGTTCTTTATGATTTTAAGGTCATTCTCATCTATCGAACGTTTCTGGGGCGATGTTACTAATTCTGAATGATTAACACAATCGATGCTTTCTGGTAATCCATAAAGCATAGGAAGACATCTTTTTGCTGATCTCTGCATTTCTGAAGTAGGACAGTTAAGCTATAAAGTGCTTCTCTTGTGCCAAATCCTTGTCTGAAACCGAACTGTGTGGGCTAATGTCTCTTTCGCATCTTTTGTATATTCTTGTGTGAATTATCTTTAAGAAGAGTTTTAGGACCTGGCTCAATAAACTGGTCATTCGGAATTGGTCGCAACTATTAGCGTTTAGCTTTTTTGGGATTGGTATAAAGGTTGGTTGAAGCCAGTCCTGTGGTATTTGACCGGACCCATAAATGTTATTAAAAAGATCTACCAAGGCGTCTAAATTGTCTTCACTCAACATTGTTAGAACCTCTACGTATATGTCGTCTGGGCCTGGTGCTTTTCCCCATTTGCTCTGTTTGATTACCCTTACAACTTCTGACTTCAATATTTTGGGGAGGGTTCACTTTTATATTCACTTTCAGGGTTTCTTCTACAGTTGTGTCTGAGTAGAGTTACTAGTGTGTAGTTTCTCCAATGTTGAAGTAGATCATTGGGATCAGTAATTAATTTATTGTCCTTCACAATACTGTTAAAACTGCAAGGTTTTGTATAAACTGTCGCTTCTTTAATGAGTTTATGCATGTTAAAGTGGTCATGTTTTTCTTCCAATTCCTCCATTTCTGCACACTTGTCTAGCAGCTACTGTTCTTTAGCTTTGCGATACTCTTTTTGTATTTGTCGGTTGATCTGCTGATGTTTGGTTCGGTCTTTGTTTTTAAATGATCTGCAGTCGTCCATTATTGATAATATTTAGCCTATATTACCAAAAAGTCTGTCACCTCTGTCTGTTTCCTTTTCCCTTTCCACAAAACTGACCTGACCTTGTCCTGAAGACTCATAGAATCTTCCACAGCACTCATATCGTCTTCCTTGTAGATGAAGAATCGATGCAGTACTTTTGCCGCATCCAATGCCTGCTGAGGGGTCGGAGCTCTGGCTCCTTCTGGCTCTGCTTCCACTTCCGGGTCACTGTTTTCTTCTTCTACACGAACTGCTTGTAATATGTCCTCGTCAGAGATTCCAGATATTGTAGCTACATTTTCATCAACTTCTTCAAAATCTGTTAGCTCTTCCGGCCCGTAGGTGATAGTAAGTTCAAACTATCTGACCCAAACAGCTAATGGCAGGTCATCTTCATCATCCGTCAATCCTTGATCTTACAGCCGTGTTCTTGATCTTACACTGAGTGTTTGAAGGAATGTTTTATTTTATTGCTCGTCACCTCGTCCTAGGATTTACTAATCATTTTATGGCGTAAATAATGTTTAGTTTAAGATCGCCGTTGTTCTCAACCAATTCCATCAAAAGTCTTCTCCTGTAATGGCTTTTCATACTCTTGATGACACTTTGGTCTATGGTCTGAAGGACACTCGTTATGCTTGCTGGGAGAAAACAAAGTTCAATGTTTTGAAGGTCGCACAGTACAGAATGAGCAGGAAAATTGTCTAAATGCACAAGAATTTTGTTTCCTTTAAGGTCGATATCCCACTTTCTTATCGCTTCGTCACCGGTGGACTATTTATGTTTTTAAAGTAACGTGGGTTTTTCCACTTCCCTATCACTAACAATTTTCGCTTTGCCAAACCTGTCATGTTAGCGGCCACTAAAATTGTAATGCGTTCCTTAGAGGGCTTTCCACCAACGCACTTTTCCGATGTAAATTTTAAAATTCTGTTTGGTGTCATTTTAAAAAACAATCCAGTATCATCAGCATTGAAAGTGTCGTTTGACGCATATCGTGCCTTTAGTCCAGGCGACACGCTTTCTAGTCAATTATCCGTTACGTTTTTGTTAACATCGCGAGCATCTCCGCTGATTTGCCCGTAGTTGATCTTGTGCCGCAGCTCCACTTGCTCAGCCAACCCTCAGATGCCTTGAAATTCTCAATTCCAAGCACATTTGCAAAAACTCAGCTTTTGTCCTGACCACAGGCGCAGAAAGTGGAATATGGTTCATACGCTGCTGCTGGAACCACTGAAGCATAGCGCGATCTAAATCTTCGTGCTGAGGTTTCCACAACTTCTTCCTGCTACCGCCCTCCATCTCCGCTTCAAGCTACTTTTTTCTGTCTTTCCATATCGTAGCCACAGTTGACTGAGACCGCCCCGTTCGGCGAACGACATCCTATTGCTTTTCACCTTTCTCTATTGCTCGAGTTATCGATAACTTTTCCTCCACCGAGAGCAATTTACGCTTTTTCGAAATCATGTTGGCTGTTGACACACTGAGACACAACTCAAACTGGAAATGAAAAGGTGTCAATAGATGACAACATCTGTGTGTAACAGTTAGGCACACCGCTCGAACAATAAAAGCGAGTCATTTAACCCTCTGATAAAAATGAGTAGTAGGATGAGTGGCCGCATTCCTTAAGCGTAAAACAAAACTACCTCTGGACAATAACCTTGCCGCTCGTGACTCAGGTAGTCTGAACTTTAAACACAATAACACATTTATCATCGACTATTGAACGCTGAAAAGTCATCGCTATAAAGAGAGAACGATATCGGTATAGAGAACGAATTAATACATTGTCCTTATGACGAACCAACCAACGTTTACTATTGTCATCGTTATAGAGGAATTATCGTTATATAGGGAATCGTTATAAAGAGAGACTACTGTATTTTTTTTTAATAATGATGGTACTGTGAAAATTCCAAGACAGCTTTTTAATTCTCTTAAATGTCTTTTTTTTTAAGATTGGCTACCTTAACTACTGTCACTCCTATCAACACATTTCATTCGTTAATTATATCCGTAACTACCTTTCTCAATAGTTCTTACTTTCACATTGATGATTCGATACATTCATAGAAGGTTCCGCCCAGTTTAACGACATCCCAAATGCCTTCAGATTTATTAGACTATTTAAAAATGTTGTACTACTATGTAGAGAAAAATGAAATACGCAAGACATTTGAGCCACTAAATTTTAAGTTTTAATTTTTCGTAACAAAAAAAGTGATTTTTTATTTTAAAATTTATAGTGAATAGAATGTCAAAATACGCTAAGACTGTATATAATATAATTTATTTTTGCAGTGCTTCAGTATGGATTTGTAACCATATTTGTGGCAGCATTTCCATTAGCACCGTTTTTTGCTCTATTGAATAATGTTCTCGAGATGAGACTAGATGCTAAAAAACTATTGACGTTTTATAGAAGGCCTGTATCACAAAGAGTACGTGATATTGGAGTCTGGTATAGAATATTGGATTCAATAGGAAAGTTATCGGTAATAACGAACGTGAGTATTTAATCTTTTCTTTTTTTTTTCTTTTCTACAAGATTGTTTTCACTATTGTATTTGTTCGAAAACTAATTATCTGTTTAAAAACGACAAGTTTATTAGGAATAATTAAACTTGTATGTAACCTTTCTACTTTCAGATTGAAACCAGTTATCAAAATATTATTAATTGATTGTAATAAAAATTACATTTCACGTTTGTTTTTTACGTTCGATTTCCACTCTGGAAATAGTTTTCAAAAAAAATTATTTTAAAAATAAGGAGGTATTTAACCCGTAGATCATCGTGGCCTACCGCGGCCCGCGGGCAGCATGTGGGCCCGCTGGGGTGTCTATTTTCCAAACTGGCGATTTTCATCAGTCCATTTCAAGATTTATGTTCATTTCAACATAACAAAATTAGCGACACGGATCACGTCATGTAGGTAGTCATCAAAACAGTGAACTTTATTAAGTCGAAAGGGTCGAATCACCGTAAGTTCCAAGATTTTCTCAAGTCTTTGTATTTACAATATAAATTGAAAAGAGTGTTTTATTTCAAAGAAGAAATACAATCATTCTTTGCAAGCAAGTCAAAAAATATTACAGAATTTGATGACAGGAAATGGGTTAGCGCCTTTGCATTTCTGAACGATAAAGTTAGCAATCTATACAGTGCGTAAAAGCCAAATGGAATAAATTCATTATTTAGGTTACTGTACATATTTATAAAAAATCCCGAAACACGTCAAATTTAAATTATAACTTGACGTTCTTTAACGTGGAAATGCAACCCCTACCTTCAACCCCCTTAGAATGACAGGAAGTATAGGCTTGTGATATATCGTTTGAAAGGTCTTTTCATTCTCCATTCAAAAATGTTGTCGCTTTCAAGTTTATTAAGATTAATTAAGAAAATATAAATTAAAATCAGATGGTTACCGAAATTCGCTACAATACAATCAAAAACTAAAATGTAATGCAAAACGTAATAAAATGTAGAACACGAAAAAGAACTATGAATTTGAATGAAGTAGATGTTCAAAATGTTCACCGCGAACGTCTTGGCAACATCCTAATCTCAAATAAAACTGTCTTCTAACATTATTTAACATAACAGGCGTGATCGCAAGCGTTATTCGTTCTTTTAAGTCATTTAAATCAGAAGGTTTAGTTTTGTACACATGGCTCTTCACATATCCCCATAAAAAGAAATCTAATAATGTAAGATCAGGTGATCGCGCTGGCCATTCAATCGATCCTCGCCTCCCTATCCACCGATTGGGAAATATTGTATCGAGGTACTGCCGGACATTAAGTTGGTAATGTGGTGGTGCTCCATCCTGCTGAAACCATATCGTATTCGCTGAATCTTGAGGGTTTCCTGGATCAGGATATAAATTTGCCAACGTTGGAATGACATCACTTTGAAGTAGTGCAAAATAATTGTTGCCATTCAAGTTACCCTCAATGAAAAAGGGACCAATGATATTGTTTCCTACAATTCCTGTCCAAACATTAACCTTTTGAGGGTATTGAGTGTGTTCTTCTCTCATCCAGTGAGGATTTTCCGTGGCCCAGTAGCGGCAATTTTGCCGATTAGCATGACCGTTAAGTGAAAAAGTACACTTATCAAAAAACATAACGTCTTCTAATTGGATAATATTTTTATCCAACATCATTTGCTTACAAAAAAAGTTCTCCTATCAAAATCGTCTTCCATGAGCTCCTGAGTAGGTATCATCTTATAGGGATGCAATTTATTTTCTTTTAATATGTTTACTATCGATGTATGGCTAGCATTGAATGTAGTGGATGCCTGTCTACTCGATGTATGTGGATTTTCCTGAAACTCAAGCAACACATCTAATTTGAGTTCATCACTCAGTGCATTGGCAGCTTCTTTTTTTATCTACCTTACATGACCAAACTCGCGAAACTGCTTCTCTATTTTACTTATTGTTCCTTGGGATATAGGCGGTAAATTAGGAAATTTCTCATGAAATAGGCGAGTTACTTCCTGTTGTGTTCGGGTGTTATCTCCGTAACCAATCATTTGTAAAACTGTTATTTTATGCATTTCCGTTAATCTAATCATTTTTCGGAATTGAATTGAACAAACTTTTTACTTAAATTTAAATACTGACAACTTAAATAAAACAATTTACTAATGCATGTTAAGATAACGTTGCCACGGAAATTCTTTAAAGTTTTTTAATGGTTACCATCTAAAAACCTCATTGCTATGGTTTTTGTTCACTTTCTCATTATCAAGACCTAAACGGGAAATAAGTTTTGAGTATATTTCGGTAACCACATGATTTTAATTTATTTTATCTTAATTAATCTTAATAAACTTGAAAGCGACAATATTTTTGAATGGAGAATGAAAAGACTTTTCAAACGATAAATCACAAGCCTATACTTCCTGTTTTAAAAATTGGGGTTTGTACCTGTCATTCTAAGGGGGTTGAAGGTAGGGGTTCACGTTAAATAATGTCAAGTTATAATTTAAATTTGACGTGTTTCGGGATTTTTTATAAATATGTACAGTAACCTAAATAATGAATTTATTCCATTTGGCTTTTACACACTGTATGTAATTAATATTCATTTACAAGAGAAAGATCTACTAATTAATGATATGTATGGTCTTATTCAGGCATTCCAAATTAAACTTGGACTCTGGGAACAACAGTTAAGGACAAAAATCTTTCTTACATTATCGTTGAAGCCAGACGTCACACAAGTGGCGGTGTTTCAATACGCTTCGTTAATATCCAACTTGAATTTGGAATTTGAAAACCGAGATTTTAAAAAGATTCGTGTGCTTTTTGGTGCATGTACACCGTAGACTTTAATTTATTGCCAGGAATTTTGCAAGTTGAACACTGTCAAATGTACTGTGATAATTTTTTAAAAAAGAAATTTAATCAGGTTGGTTTGGAAGAGTTTTATAAAATATATTTGGATAAGGATAATCTAGTATTTTACAAACATGATTTGTCCATGATTTCGCTGTTTGGAAACCCCTGCCGGTGTGAACAGTTTTTAGTCAAATGAAACATTAAATCTCGACTAGGATCACTGATGAGCATTTGGAAAACGGTTTGCAGGTAGCAACAACGTCAATCGATATTAACGTGCACCTAGTTCTGAGAAATAAAATCAGACATTTCAATAAAATTTATTATATTTGTTTTATTTTTTTATTCGTATTTTTTGTATTTAACTTTAATAAATATATTTGTTTCTGATTTGTTATATCGTCTTTGAAAAAACATTTCTTTAATTTCTTTTTTGCTTTGAATAATATAAACAAAATTGTGCGGCCCACTAGCAAATCTTATCTCTAAAATTTGGCCCGCCTGCTAAAAATGTTCACAACCCATGCTGTAGATGTTTATTAATTGGCTCTTTGTTTTGCCAGTTGACAGGTGACTTACTTGGCCTCGATCTTGTAGAGAAATGGTCATGTTTTGAGTTGAAAATTCTGAGAGTGGTGTTGATATCAAATTCTGATCTTTTTTGTGTGTTTATTTTTATTATTTGTGCATTTTGTCGGCAGTTCAACATGGTTTGTAAATTTGAAATGACATAACCGACAACTATTTGGTACTGTGAGTACAGTTCATTTGATAGCATATAATATATAGGGTTTTTAATTGAATTTTAAAGTGTAATTGTTAGTTCATTTATATAATTTGAATTGGATATTAAAAGAAAAGTAAAAACTAAAGAATTACTTATTTGTCAGTTCTACTCCGATGTTTCGAGTCATAGTTGCTTAAAATAACGTCTGTAATGTCGTACAGATTTTTTAATTTTTTTTTTCTTCTAGGGATTCATTATTGCGTTTACATCCGATTTCATTCCTAGACTGGTATATTTGGGTACTCATGATAGTTTGGAAAACTATCTGAATAGTACACTTGCATATTTTAATACGAGCGATTTCAACGAAAGCTCAAGGCCTAAAAACTGGGAGACAGAATCAGTTTGTCGGTAAGTAAAGTAAGCAACCATAATTTTCAAAATGAATGGTAGAAGCGATCTGAATAATTTTAATTCTGGATGACTGTTACGTTTACGTGTCTAATGTTAGTATTTTTCTCCTTTTTCGTGTCTTGTTCTTTAACTTTCGTCTTCGTTCTGAAGGTTGTATTTTAAAATTTGATTCTGGTTTTCACATCAGTTATTAGAAACTTATTTCATCAAATAGAGTTTACCAAATATCTAGGTATTATATTTGCCTTAGTTAATTGTTGACTTACCTCTTCCTTCATTTTTAAGTTTGTTTATAATTTAATTCCTAGATAGTCAATTATCCCGTCTTCAATCGCCAGTTTGCAACGAATAGGTTCTTTTGCAATAAGTAAATTTTCCGATATTTTCAGTTTATACTTTAATGCAATGGTATACAACTAGTACGAAATCCTCTGGAGATCGTCTTCGTTTTCTGCCATAATTAATGCATAGTGGACGGCAAACATGAGTTCGAATCTCGGCACCAACAACGACATTTTTATTTCTAAAAATGATATGAACCCGATCACCGTCATTCGGAGGGCACGTAAAGCCGTCGGTTCGCCTGGGCTAGTGTGCATCCACACTAGTTATAACTACTTAAAAAAGGGTTTAAGATACATTTGGCGCCGGTACGATCCGAAAGGATCGCTCCGGCAAAAATGCCGTACGATAATATTATTATTAGTGCATAATTCGCATAGCAAATAATTTTGATTTCTGTTATTTTCATCCTAAATCCTCTTTTTACCTTAACTTTTTTTTATTTTCATCTATTATGACATTGAACAGAAGAGAACTTAGAATCTCTCTGTCTTATGTTTCATATGCAATCAATTCTGTCATTTCGCCTCCTAAATGTGCAATTATTTTGTTGTTTTTGTATATGTTTTCCATTTTGTATATTTTACCATTAGACATCAATATTGTCTTAATTATGTCCACTGGTAAGCTTCTGCTACATAATAGATATATTACATCTTGTATTTGTATTCGTTCAAGCGCTTTAGCTGAATCGATAAGCACATAAATGTCGGATTATTATATTCCAGCGATTTCTATTTTACTTGTATAACTATGAATCCTGCATCTGTATAAGATCGACCTGTTCTGTATCCTTGCTGTTCTTCTTCTAGTATTATCCTTTTACTAATTTTCTTTGCTATTATTCTTGTTGTTAGCTTTTTGGTTGTGTTTAATACATTTAACCACGATATTTATTAAGATTTTACGATGTTCTTTCTTAAATTTCTAAAAAAATTCTATTTTGTGTAATGATCGTCTGAACTATTGTTTGGATTGGTTTAATAAGTATGTTACCCCATTATTTGATCTGTTCATTCACTATTTGATTTCTGTAATATGAGTTCTTTCATACATTTTCTATTTAGTGTGCTTAGCAAAGTACTTTTCAGTGGTGTGTTAATTATGTGTTTTTTGTGTATATGTATGTATGCTTATATGCATGTATGTAGATTTAGATGATAATTTAAACATTAATAAAAAATAATAAAATTTTGTTGTAGATATTTAGATTACAGAGAGGCGCCAGGAACACCAAACGAGTACAATCGAACAACTTTATTTTACCAAATATTAGCAGCTAGATTATTTTTTGTCCTTATTTTCGAAAATTTGGTTGTGATCGTTCTTATCATCGTTAAATGGTTAATACCAGATATACCAGCTGATCTCAAGGATAGAATAAGACGAGAAGCATACATCACAAATGAGATAATAATCAAACAGGAGACCAGAAGGGCTCAATGTGGCATTGTTTGTAAGTTTTTTATGTATGTCTATTGTTAAATCTGTTGAATTAGATGAATATTCAAGACGATACTAATGGAAACATGTTTGGAACAGGCTTTTTCTATAACTTCGTGTCCTATAAAATGGACACGGGGACAAAAAGGTCCTACACACCAACAATCATAAAAATAATAATTATTTTAATGTCGTACTGAATTTAATATGAATATTAAATACGAGTTTTGGAATAAAAACAATAAATACTCCATCTATTTTACTAATCCAAAAACTAGTTTGACTCTGGCTATGAGGACGCACTGCAGACAAGTTGTCAAATAATGTCTTATTTTATAGTTTCGTTCATAGATTAATGTCACCAAATAAGTGAGTCAGATTCAAAATTTTGTATCGCTTAAGGCGAAAATTGGTTATAAGAGTTAGGGAACTTTTTTAGATGAGTATGAGAGTGGAAGCTGTCTATTTTATAATTGATAGTATTTATTATCACAAAGTTACACCTCGTTGGATTTTACTATTGCTTTCTGAATGATATTCAGATACTTTAAAAGGCATCTACGTCTAGGAGAGTCATAATTAATCGAATTTTTCTTCGTGGCAATTCTCGACCCTCGCATAGTTTGTACAGTTACGATCTTAAGCGTGCAATCTGAAGAACATCGCCGTGCTATTACCATGTATTTAGGCTCTTAAAATAGTCTCGAAAAGACGTCGATTTAATTTGGACTCATGTAGATATACTTGTTAAGGGATGATTCAGCAATGTATTTATAGATTAGTTAAACAATTGGAGTCAAGTCTTACGGTTAATCAAGATTTCCATTGTAGAACGATATACATGTATGTAGGGCAATATGGCCCTCGGGGCACTACCATTTGTCACTCTGTTTATTTAAATTCGTAAATTGTTACCTACAATCTTACATGCGATAGTATCTGCAAACTCATATCTAGAAATCGGCAAAGCTCTTGTGCTCATTTTCTCATTTCAGCGATAGCTTACAATAGACTACTTTTAGGGCCTTAAATGAAAATAATTAAACTTTATCTAGCAAAATCTTTATCACAAAATTTAGTCTAAATTAACCCAGTGTGAAAAATAAATTGAGGCGTGAACCGAACGACAGATAAAGAAACGTATGTCTAGTACTAGAGAAGAACTTTTTAAGAACTGGAATGCTATAATTTATACTTGTGTACACTCTAAGCGTACTCACCCTTCCGGGATTTATGCCGAAATAACAACGAGACTCGAGCCCCTATCTCTTGAAGTACTGCTGATTAATAGGTGGATCCGATACACCCGCGTATTCTGGTCTAAGTACTGTTTGATCCATAGACCTTCTTTTAGTCTGCTGGTACTGTTTGATCCATAGACCTTTAGATCATACACAGTGATGAATGTGACTCGTCCGCCTGGTCTACTTGGCTATCTTCTTCTTTAGGTGTCGTGTTCGTATTTAGACATTGACTTTCATCATGTTTACAATTTCCCGAAACCCATCTTCCAATTTTCTTTATAAGTCTCCAATTATATGGCCGCAGTTTTCTGTTTGTCTCTTTTTTATGTTTATGATCGAACCTTCTGAATTCATCATTTTAAGGACATCTTCATTGGGAGTGTGAGAAACCCGCGATATTTTTAGGATCCGTCGATATCACCACAATTCGAATACTTCTAATTTGTTTAGCAATGTGGTTTTTGATGTCCATGTCCCACAACCATATAATATGATAGACTACACATAACATTTCAGGACGTTTTTGCGAATCTTGCGAGTTAATTGATTAATCTTCGCATGATTTTTCCAATTAGCAATGTCTTTATTGTAGGTCAATCAATAGAAGCTCTAAAAATAGATACTTACAGCAGAGATTATCTGGAAAGTAATAAACAAAAATCTCTTACCCCCTAGTCATTTTTTTTATGACTAAAAATATATGATAATCGCTAGGATCTAAATCTTATGGATACGGCAAATGAAGACTAATATAATAAATTCATAAATGTTGGTCCTTTCTAACGCAGGCTAATGGACAAGAACGTTATCTTGAGGACAAGCGTTTCCGTTTTTACTAAATTAGTTTTTTTTTATTTTATCGTCTAAATTATTCCAATAAAATGATTAATACTCTCCATTTGTTTTTTTATCATTCTCTAATAGTCGTTTAAGATAATTCCGTAAACTCTCGAAACTGCCATACATTTTTCTGCTGACCATGGTTTTGGGATCATAATTGTAGAGATGCTAAGAAATTTGCCCAAAAGTCCTTAGTGGTCAAAAATGTTAAAATGTGACATGACTGTACGCCCTCAAATAAAATGCTTCGAGAAAAACAACAAAACTTCTACCTAAATATTTTTCTATACGTCAATAAATGTGTATGAGTCCATAGTTTTCCTTATTTGAATTACTTTTTTAATACGTTATAGTAAACTACATAAATACGCATTTTTTATGTTACAATATATCTGGACTGGGACTAGATCTGCCGCTGGTGGTGGCGCAGCCCTAATCCCGATTATCTCGGGCGCGTAAATAACAATTGCCTAGAAGTCGTAAAGCGCCAAAAATGATTAGATATATGCCTCGAAACTTTCCATAAAATTTAAATATTTAAATAATAATAAACATAAACTTCACAATTTAAATGTTTATAATGTTTATATAAGTGCAGCATACAGGTATAGCTTGTCTCAAAATGTATCGTCTTGGTTTTCCCCTTGTTAAAGGATTACTGTTATTATTGCCATTGACATCCAATGATCTCCATTTTATTATAAAAAAATGTTTTATTGCTTAAATTCTTCCTCCTCCTAAGTGCCTTCTTTGTTGAGGTTGCCGATAAATATGGCAAGTTTCTCTCTGTTCTGGGCTTGATGAATTAATTCAGTTCCTCTTGTGTGGGTCCAATCTCTGGTATTTCGTAGCCAAGATTTTTTCTTTCGTCCTATGCCCCTTTGACCTTCAATCTTGCCTTCTAATATTACTTGGAGCTGCTTAAATACCCTATGGCGCAATATGTGTTCTAGATATGACGTCTTTCTAATTTTGATTGTATTGATAGACACACGATGATGGCGTGTGTTCATTACTTTCGGTACTTCTTCATTCGTAGTTCTGCTGGCTCAACTTATTCTTAACATTCGGCGGTACATCCACATTTCAAATGAATTTAATTTATTGAAGTCATACTGTTTTAATGTCCAGGTCTCACAGCCATATAGCAATAGAGACTACACATAACACATAGCGTTCTCAATCTTATTGAGACTGATAGCTTGGAGTTAAAGAGCATTTTACGGATGTTCATGAAACCAGATCTTGCTATCTCAATGCGTCTTCTAATTTCTTTTGAGTGGTCTAGTTGACTATTTAGCTCTCTGTCCAGGTATATGAAGCTTTAGGAATCCTGAAGGGTTTAACATTTATTTGTATGTTAGGTGTAACTTGTTTATGAGTTTTTTTTTGTGGAATACCAGAATTTTGATTTTTCAAAAGTTAATGTCTAAGCCCAGCCTGTGACTTTCTTCTGATAATATGTTCATCAATATTTTTAGTTGGTCTTCTGTTTCTGCTAATACTACGGTGTCATCGGCATATCTTATATTGCTAATGATTCCATTGACTCTTGGCACCTTCACGGCGATCTTCAAGAGAAGCTCTAATTATATGTTCGGCATATAGAATAAATAATAAGGGGAACAAAGTGCACCCTTAACGCACTCTGTTTTACTATCAGAGACCTCATTTGGATTAATTACAATGGTTGTATATTATAATTTTAGATAGACAGATAGGACTGTTTAACTTTTTCAATATATAGGTCCGAATTTTTCCAGCTTTCTATCGACATCTTATTTATAACAGTTTTAATTAGAGATAGTGCAAACACTCCTGACCATGGAGCTGCGCGAAGGCGGAGTCAAAATTCACGCAAAGGCAGAAGGTTCTATTGTAAACCAAATTTCGTCTTCTGCGCCGTGGTCAGGAGTGTTTGCACTATCTCTAACTGTATAACAGTGGCACGCAGGGCAGGAAAACTATTCCGCCCTTATCTTTACTTTGACTTAATCCCATATATGCTCAATAGGGTTACACAATGGTACGGAGGAAGGCGTAACACGTAAGTTATCACATACACAGTGCTTTTTAATATTAAATGTATTTACCACTTCTAGTAGTTGTTCTTTGTTATAATACTCCAGTTACTGAGGCTTAAAATATGGTGATACTTCCGAATTTTTTATAACTGCATTAATTTCTTTGAAAATTTTAAATTAAACTTATCTTACTCTCCACTTCAAAAGTTATATACGCTCTAGGTACGCTTTTTGTTTTTAAGGGGTGAAAACTACCCCTTATTAAAGAAACTGAAAAAAAAAGGATTTAATTATTTTATGCACGTAAATCTTGTTTATTCGCATAAGGTAAATATTGTAATGTGTTCTCTAATATGAAAATTAGTTATTCACAATTTTTAACCCTTAAAACCCTTCAAAAACCCTTAAAAGCTAATACTTTTTATAATATGAAATATTATGAAATAATATGAAAAAAATGTCGTAGCAGCTTGAGACATTTCAATTATGTATTGAAATACAAATAAAAATAACCTAGCTATACAATAATATTTTATTTATTGGAAATTTTCAACCCTTACAACCATCCTTATGACAAAAATGAATTAAAAATGAATTAAAAAATATGTTTATCGGTTTGAAACATTTCTTGAGTGCATTTTATTTAAATGTCTATTAGTTCCATCGAAATGCTCCAATGCTCCAAGTTATAAAATTTTTCGATGCTCCAAAATTTATTCTAAAAAGTACTAGTGGTTTTTTTTACAATAACTACACGACTTATATCTATATTGATTTTTTCTTCATGTAACTTCAATTTATTTTTATCTAACTTGGGAACTATCATAAAGGATTTTCATAAAGGAAATATTGTTGTTCTTCTTATAAGTACTGTCTTAATAATGATACTGAAAATCACTACGTTTTTTTCGTCCTGTCAATGTTTCTTTACTTGCGATATCCTTTATCGACAATATTAGCGTTTTTGAAAGTGAAAATGTTTCTTTCACAGCATCTTGTTTGATATGTCCTCTATCTACTAAAGGATCATACACATTTTTAACTATTTCTTTTGCGTCTAATGATCAACGCTTTCAATTATGTTTAGTAGATGTCGAGTGATTTTTTTCCCAAGAACGAAACATATTTGTTCAACAAACTTCACTAATATACTATATACACAGTAGCAAGTACAGATTCTTAATGACTGATACTACATATTAATTTTAATTTCCTCAATATGAGCCGTACCTGAATCAACCCTGAACGCTCAAGTAGAAATTTAAAACGTGTTTATGTATTAATATTGGCAATAATATTACTAATGCTTAAAAGACGATATATTTTGAGTTTTTGTGTTTTTTTAGAGTAGGTAAAATCTGCGTAAAAAATGAAATTGATTCTTTGCTTTTGCCAAGTCCTGAAAAATTGTGTTGTAAGTGCTTGCCGAAAAGTGAACCGCATTCACATTTAATAAGAATATCCTAATGCATATTTCACACAGTTATTCCCAGCAACTAAATCTCATACAGAAAAATGAATTACAAACTTAAAAATACGCGTATTTTTCATAATTTGTCCGCCTTTTTTTGACCCCAATTAATTGACTAAATGCTCAAGCTATGGTGTCGATAAAAACAAGGTGAATAATTTTGATTGAAATTTGAGTGAATTTAATTTTTGGATTAGTTTTGCGGTCCCAAACTCAAATATCACGAGCCGCCACCATATCAGATTCATACAATATGCTACAGTAAATTAATTGGTAGTATTAACAATTTTGCGACGTTCACTATAAAGTTTATCATTAGTGCGTTCACGAGCTCGCTTAAATTTATCAACCCCGTTTTAATCCTTGAAAACTAATAAGCGAGTTCCTAGTTTTAAAAAATAATAGGCGAGTTCAAATAGCATTGTATCTAGCTCTACTTTGAATTTGGTTAATTTGAGCCTTAAATGCGCTTGATGACTAACATAAGATCAGGTTTTTCATTGTTTATTAAATAGAAGGAGTTCACATTTGCGCGTTGTATGTATATCTAATATTACACTGATTGACAGATCTGTACGTTGTTATTTAACGTAATAAAGGATGATTCTACAGAATGGTAAAGAAGATTTACATAGCAACATAGTAAAACTTTAAAATCCCTAAAAAATACATCCGACTAGTAAAAGCAAATAAACGAGCTGTCGCTTACACTATTCAGCTTAACTCGAATTTGTGATAAGACAATTAAAAATAGAAAGAGTTAATCTAATAAATAAATCAACTATGCCGATGACATCAGCATTATGTCTCACAGAATGGAAGAGGCGGCAGAAATATATTCACAATTAAAAACAGGAGCAAAATTCACATATTTGTGAGTAGAGTATACGAAGCGTATTTTTCACTCGCCCATGTGTTCCGCTCCAAAAACACACACTGGAGATCGAAAATCAGGGTCTACAAAACTATTGTCAGACCAATAGTATGTTATGGATGCGAGCCATGGATGATGACAGAAAACAGAAAAAGAAAGCTCGGAGTATTTGAAAGAAAATTCCTAAGAAAGATATTTGGATCTATTAACGAAAAATGAGTATGGAGATCCACATACAACCATGAACTCTACAAACTGTTCAAAGAGACACCATCTCAGAATTGGTTAAAATCCTGAGACTTCGGTGGGCTAGACATGTAGTGAGAATGGAGACCGAAAGATAGCTCAAGGTAGTAAAATGCGGGGAGCAAGACCAAAAGGAGGCCATGGAAAAGGTGGGAGGATGAAGTGGAGGAACCATTTTAATCTAATTATAATTTCTCTCGATGTCCCTATGCTTTCAAATGTAAACACCAACTTGTCCATTATTTTGTATTCGTTAATACACATAGTAAATATTTCTAATGATCCATGTTTAATGTCGACAATTACACTAGCACGCGTTTGGATTACTAGTCTTTGCTTATACAGCAAGAGGAGAACGTCTGGATCTTTGTTAGAATCTATGGAAATCAACAAATTAAAAAAACACAGATATAATTCTGAATGACCAACTTGAGACAAAC